GGGAGGGAGGGAAGGAGAAAAGGGGGAGGGAGGGAGGGAAGGAGAGAAGGGGGAAGAGGGAGAGAAGGAGAGAAGGGGGAGAGAGGGAGGGAAGGAGAGAAGGGGGAGGGAGGGAAGGAAGGAGAGAAGGGGGAGGGAGGGAGGGAAGGAGAAAAGGGGGAGGGAGGGAGGGAAGGAGAGAAGGGGGAAGAGGGAGAGAAGGAGAGAAGGGGGAGAGAGGGAGGGAAGGAGGGAAGGGGGAGGGAGGGAAGGAAGGAGAAAAGGGGGAGGGAGGGAGGGAAGGAGAGAAGGGGGAAGAGGGAGGGAAGGAGAGAAGGGGGAAGAGGGAGAGAAGGAGAGAAGGGGGAGAGAGGGAAGGAAGGAGAGAAGGGGGAGGGAGGGAGGGAAGGAGAGAAGGGAGAAAGAGGGAGGGAGGGAAGGAGAGAAGGGGGAGGGAGGGAGGGAAAGAGAGAAGGGGGAGGGAGGGAGGGAAGGAGAGAAGGGGGAGGGAGGGATGGAAGTTGAGAAGGGGGAGTAAGTAAGCGGGAGAGAGGGTCAGGGAGGAGGGGGAGGATGCGGCGAAGGGGGGGGGGGGCAGGAGAAGGAATGAGAGAGGGAGGAGGAAAGGGGGAGTGAGGAAGGTAAGGTGAAGAGAGAGGTGGAAGGGAGAGGAAGAAGGGAGGAAGAGAGGCGAGGAGGATGGGGAAGGATGAGGAAGGGTAAGAGAAAGGAGGGGGAGGGGGAAAGGAGAAGAAAATGGGAAGAAGTGTGGTTAGGAGGGAGGAATGGGGGAGAGGAGGAATAAGGAAGGAGGAAAGGGGAAAGAGGGCAAAGGGGAGGGGAGGTAGAAAAGGAGGAAGGGAGGGGGGAGGAGAAGACAAAAACAGAATAAAGAGAGGGGTGGAGAAAATAGGAGAGGGGGAAAAAGAAAAGGGACATGATAGAAAAGAGGAGGGAGGAGGTAAGAGGGAAGGGGAAGAGGGAAGGGGAAGAGGGAAGGAGAGATGAGGAAATGGAAGAAGGAGAAAGAGGAGGAAATGGAAGAGAGAAAGAGAGAGAAAGGAGAAACGTGGAGAAGAGAGGAAGGAGAAACCAGAAGAAGGAAGGAGAAAGCAGAAGAAGGAAGGAGAGAGAAATGAAAAAAAGATGAAAGGAAAGAGAGAGGAAAGAGAAAAGGAGGAAGAGAACAAGAAAAGAAGGAGGAAAGGAGAATATTAAAAACGGGAGGAAGAAGAGAGGAAGGAGAAGGAGAAGGAGAAGCTGAGAGAACATTGGTCAGTAACCCCGTATATTTGCTACCGAGGCCGACCTTGTTTACCTCTGTGACCAGCGTTAATTAACACGCCTCTTGAGGGTCGGGCGGCTCCTCCTGCTGGTGCCACGGGAGAATGAAGGGGCTATTGGGGCGCCGGTCTCCCGAAGGGCGTATTTGGCATTCTGAAGGGCTTGGGAGGAAGTTGAGATGTTGAAGAGAATAATGTTAATGAATAGGAATGATGATAATTTTTTTTATTTTTTTATGATAATCCTTGTTATTATTATTATCATCATTATTATTAATATTATTGTTCTCTTAAAGTTATCGTCATTATTAGTATTACTATTATCATTATTGTCGTTATTATTATTTTTACTATTGTTATCATTATTATTATTTTTACCATTACTGTTATTATTATTGTTATTTTATTATTATCATCATTATTATCATCGCCATCATCATCATCATCATTATTATTATCATTATTATTAGTATAATCATCACTATCATTACTATTACCATTATCATTATCTTTATTACCATTATTATCATCAATATCATCATTATCATCAATGTCATCATTATTATCATCATTATCATTAATGTCATCATTATCATCAATGTCATCATTATCATCCTCATTATTATTATCATTATTACCATCGTCATCATCATCATCATTACTATAACTGTTAATGAGGAATCGCCAAACCAAACCAAACTCCCAATCTCGATCGACAAAATCTATCTGTCGATCTCGAACACCAGCGAATCAAGTCGATTAACGAAAATACTGCTGTTGACCCAAACTATTATTCACTAGACCTATCCATCATTCATCTATTTTTCACGAACACGGAAGCTAAATGTGTGTTTTGCAACGTAAACTTTTAGGGAAGTCTGACACTGTTTCCGCGAGCTCGAAATGTCACGTTTTGGAGTCAGGAGAAAATGACCTTTAAGGGTATTTGATCGTCTGGGGTTCCGGTGGTGATGATAAAGGTCGGGTAGGATTTGCTTTCGTGCGGTGGTGGTGATGAGGATGGTGATGGTGGGGGTGGTGGTGAGGATGATGATGGTGATGAGGATTGTGGTGGTGATGATGATGGTGATAGTGGTGGTGGTGAGGATGATGGTGATGATGATTGTGAGGGTGATGATGATGGTGATGGTGGTGGTGATGATGAGGGTGATAGTAATGGTGGTGGTGGTGAGGATGATGGTGATGGTGAGGGTGATGATGATAGTGATAGTCATGATGGTGGTGGTGATGATAATGATAATGATAATAATAATAATAATTGAGGAGGATGAGAATATGGAAGATGAGGGTGACGATGATGATGACAATAATAGTAATGATAATAATGATAATAATGATAATAATGATATAGTAATAATAATGATAATAACAATAATAATAATAATAATAATAATGAGAGAGAGAGAGAGAGAGAGAGAGAGAGAGAGAGAGAGAGAGAGAGAGAGAGAGAGAGAGAGAGAGAGAGAGAGAGAGAGAGAGAGACAGAAAGAGATAGAGAGACAGACAGACAGATAAACAGACAGAGAGACAGACAGACAGACAGACAACCAGACCAACAGACAGACAGATACATGTTTAATACAAATGCACGTATTCATACAAACAACAAACAAAAACAAACGAGAAGGCAAACGATATACTATACATACAACCGCCCCTTTGTTTTCATTATAAATATTGAGATACATCTTCGTCCTGCTTACATTATGGGGTTCTAGATGCGTCATCCCTGTTTTCCTTATTGATCCCCTGATAAAAGAGAAAGGAAGAAAACTGGATTTTTTTGTTTCGTTTTAAAGCCATTTTAAGTTCATTAAATCCATGCTTGAGGTTTTAACTTTTTTTTTTTTTTTTTTTTTTTTTTTTTTGCGTGTAACTATCTCTCTTTCTTTCCTATGATTATCGTGATTTCTTTAGTATGTTGATGAAAACTTTTTTCTTTCTTTCTTTTCTTTCTTTCATTACTTTTATCTGTTTGTGATCTTTATCTTTTCGTTCTTTTATTTCCACGTTTGTTATTTCTTTGGCTTTTATTTCCCGATATGAAAAATGAATATAAATTCTTCAATTCTTTATTTCCTTTTGTCTTCCGTTTATCATTTGCGTGCATCATTTATTTATTTATTTTTCTTCCATCTCTATTTTTTTTTTTCTTACTTTTATTTCACTTCCGCTTTCTTTGTCTTTTTCATTTTCTGTTTCTTTTTTTTCTTCTCCCATATTCTATACTTTCTGTTATTATTTTTATGCATTAAGAAGTAACGAAATGAAAAAAGAGAGAGAAAAAAACACGTTTATATAAAATGCGTCTCTATTTTTCTTTAATTTTCACTTAATTTTCCTTTCTTTCATCTTCCTCTTCCTTCCACCTCCTACCTTCCTCCTCTCTCCCTTGCACACCCCACTTCCAATCATTTCTCTCACTTCCCACTTCCTTTCTCTCATTTCCTTCCTAACCTTAAAAGAGAGAGAGAAAAAAAAAAACATGAACAATAATCATGCTACTAAAACATTAAAACTCCGCAAAATCATAACGCATCTCACTTCCAATAATTTCCCTCACTTCCCACTCCCTTTCTCTCATTTCCCTTCCTATACAACGGAAAAAAATAGAAAAAAAAAACATTAACAATAATCATGATACTAAAATCTCATAGAAAAACACGAGAACTCTGCAAAATCTCTCATTTCCCTTCCTATACAACGGAAAAAAAGAAAGAAAAAAAAAACACTAACAATAATCATGATACAAAAAACTCATAGAAAAAAACAAGAATTCCGCAAAATAATAACGCATCTTTACGGTTATCAAAAGTGTCCTTTGCTGCCGCTTCCCTCGAGCTCAGTCATCACTCCCTACCAACTTTCGGGGGATCAGCATAACAGATGGGATTTAGGCCAAGGAGGGGGGGGGAGGGAAGGAGGGGAGGGGGAAGGAGAGGGAGGGGAGAGAAAGGGAGAGAGGGGAGGGGGGAGGGGGAAGGAGACGAAGGGGAGGAGAGGAGAGGAGGAAGGAGAGGAGGGGAGAGAAAGGAAGGGAGGGGAGGGGGTGAGGAGAGGAGGAAGGAGAGGAGGGAAGAGAAAGGAAGGGAGGGGATGGGAAGGAGAGGAGGAAGGAGAGGAGGGGAGGGGGAAGGAGAGGAAGGGAGAGAAAGGGAGAGAGGGGAGGTCGAAGGAGAGGAGGAAGGAGAGGAGGGGAGGGGGAAGGAGAGGAAGGGAGAGAAAGGGAGAGAGGGGAGGTCGAAGGAGAGGAGGAAGGAGAGGAGGGGAGGGGGAAGGAGAGGAAGGGAGAGAAAGGGAGAGAGGGGAGGGGGAAGGAGAGGAGGAAGGAGAGGAGGGGAAGGGGAAGGAGAGGAGGGGAGAGAAAGAAAGGGAGGGAAGGGGGAAGGAGAGGAGGAAGGAGAGGAAGGGAAGGGGAAGGAGAGGAGAGGAGAGAAAGAAAGGGAGGGAAGGGGGAAGGAGAGGAGGAAGGAGAGGAGGGGAGAGAAGGGAGGGGAGGAAGGAGAGGGAGGGATAGTGGGAGATGGGAAGGGGAAGGAGAGGGGAGGGGAAGAAAAGAAGGGAAGAGGAATTAGGAGGGCGGGAGAGAGGAGGAAGAGAAAAGAACATGGAAGGAAAAGAGGCTTAACGGGCACTGGAATAAGAGACAAAATACGAAGGGAGTGGGGACAGGAGAAAGAAAAGAGAAAGAATCGGAAGAGGAACACAACGAAAGAG